GTTCCCAGAGCCTCTCTCAATAGAGTTCCAGTCTTCCTGTGGGGTCAGTCCCTGATCTGTCCTACCTCGTAGGGCTGACCCTTATGGGCGGCTCAGACCCCATCAGTGTGTAGGCGAAGGGTGGATTATGCCTCAATTTGCATAATCTAACAATTAAACAGAGCCATAGTTGCTGTTCGATTGCCGTTATTCATGCCTGCCTGCCTGGCAAACTCAAGAAACAAGAACCGGTTGAATTTCTGCAGAGGTCTTTATCGCAATTCTCTAGGTCAACTTATACCTAGCATGAAAAAGACAAGAGCTGATCTCAGTCTCTTTCTCGCACTTCTTCCCTCCCCTCTTTCGCAATTGTCCAATTCCCTCCTTCACTTTCCTAGGTTTTGTTCAACATTCGGTCGCCCTTGTTCACCCAGTTTAAAAAGGCCCTTTTGGACAACGTGAAGACAGTGCAATTGTCTTGATCCGGTTTTCGGGGAAGTACATCACAACTTCCAAATTTCATTCCCTTTCCAAGCAGGGTGCCCAATGCTTTCTGATGCAGTGTGTGTGTTGGGGGCAGCACTAGCACAAGATCTAAATTTTAATGCACTTTAGGTTAAATCAAACAAATTACTTTTGATTAATAGGAGGTCTCCCTGGGTATGGAACAAGGAATCCCTTCGATTGTGTTAAAAATGAAAGGTCCTGACCATTTTTCAAAGCAGGATCCTGTATGAAAACCAGGGAGCTGACAATGAACAATGAACTTCAACATCCTTGCCTAACTTTGTGGGACTACAGAAACCATCATCCCCACCCCTGCTGTCTGGCGGTGATCGGCGGTGTGGCTCAGTCCATCTCAAGCGCACCAGATTAGACAAAGCAGTGCGATGTCCCATATTCCAAGTTGCCAAGTTGGTGCCACCCAGTTGAGGCCACCGTCAGGGTATCGGTGGCTTCCTTCCTCCCAGCGTTAGTTGCCCAGCTGGTCCATCTCTTGAACTCCGCTGTTGCAGGGAAGTCGGATTGACCTGCGCTGAGATTTCGGGGTACGGCAGAGGCGTTGGAGAGAGTTACGGCCAATGCTGCCCGCAAAAGAAATCGAATCATATGTGGAATGCCCTGAAGCTGGACGCCTGGTGGTTCCTGCTGGACGTGTGCTGGGGGGCTGGCCAGGTGGACCTGGCGCAAAAGCAGTTCATCCGCCGGTGAGTCTTTGCGGCCCAAACCTGGAGGTGGGAATGGCAGTGGACGGAGCAGCCTGGAGGTCTGCCAGCCCCTCGTTGGCTTCGTCTGCCCGGCAGAGGGCCCCCGGTGCTTCCAGGAAGGGCAGAATGAGGAAGGAACCGCCCCCGATCACTGTTCCCTGGTCAGCGCCAAGACTGCAGATAGACTGCAGCTACACCTGGAGGGAGTATCACACTATCAAAGCAATAGTTGTTTTTCATGATGGGTGGGGTGGGGAACATGGTCCTTCACCTTCATATATGATTGTTCTCCCGGGGCCAGACGTATGTAAAAAATACAAAATCTGGAAGGGAAAAATGTGAAGTCGGTAAGAAAACACTCGACTCTCTGTTGCTCTGGGATGGGCACGTGCTTAGCTTTTTCATTCAGTCCCTTAGCATGATTGCATGTTAACAGCAAAACATATGTGTTTGCCACTGAAGAGTGAAGGTTTGGATCAGAGGTGACTTGGGGGGAGGTCAAATAAGTCAAGATGGCAGCCAACCATCACCATCAAAGTACGGACGTTGCCATCTTGATGGCAAATATCTCAGTTTGGATTTTAGAAAGCTAAATGTCTTTTGGCAGCCTCCCTCAACTTCAGATGTGTTGAATTGCAAGAAGCCAGCTGCTGGCTAGGATAATGGGAATGGTAGTCCAAGAAATCTGGCATGCAACAAGCTGGGGAAGACCATTTTAGAAGCTGCTTTAAACGAGGTTTTTACTGGCTCTCAGTGCGTCACCTTCCTTTCCGTACAAAGGACCATCCTGTCTTTGAGAACCGTTGAGGGCCGCCCTTCCGTCTTGCAGCAGTGAGTTTCACAGGTTAACGTTCCCAACTAACCCGTCTCAGCCCCGACCTTCAGAATTCCAGCAGGGACAGATTTTCTGTATTCGCTTTTCCGTTTTAAAGCTAATACCTCCGGACAGCATAGAGGCATTCGCTTTCTACAACCGGAAACCAAACGGAGAATTTACCCCTGCGAAAACTTGGGGGCTGTGAATTTGCAGACTTCGGGTCATTCGGCTACAAAACACGTGTCCTGTATTGAAATCTGCTTGGTGTACCGCCTCTGTCCCTGGCTGCGTTTGCAGACAATGCCTACCCTGATGTCCTGAGCTACACTTTACTCAGTCATCCCAGTTTCGTGGGTTTGCACGAGGCACTGAACCATAATCTAATCATTTCGTAGAAGGCCGGGTGTGTCTGGGAGGGTGCGCATGTCACAATCTGTATGAAGCCCTGCCTATTTTGCACACGTAATGCGCACACGTACAACGGGGCACCACACTTGCCATTTTGCAGAGTTTGAAATGCCCTCCCCCCAGAAGTCCCTGTCCGGGACTAACCAACATGCTAGGCTAGAACATGGTTGATTAGTCGGCGGTTGTGGGTTGCCTGACCCAATTTCTGTGCTTTGTGTCACAGAGCTGGCAGAGGGTAATAGGGAAGGGGTCAGAAGCTCTTAGGCAAACTCTGGACCACTCGCTCGCACTTGCCCCGGCCTACCTCACAGGGTTGTTGTGCAAAACAGCAGAACACGGAGGCCGTGTCTTTTACTCGGAGCTCCTGATCGAAAGTCAGGACATAAATCCAAGCAAAAACCGATCGGTCAATCTCCTGGGCACATTTTCCACTTTAAGTAAATAATGACTCACTTCGAAATTACAACATGTCTGAAATTATTTTCCATTAAATGCATTAGAGCTTGCCATTTTCTAGCCAGGACTAAACGGAACCAGTGTGACATTTAATTATGTTACATAAAACACATTCGCTTGGAGAGGGGTGTGTGTGTGTGTGTGTGTGTGTGTGTGTGTGAGTATGAGAGAGAGCGAGCAATAGAGAGGAAGAGAGATTGTGTTGCTATTCCCCAACAATACAACAGAGCTGTTTTGGCATGATTTTCAAGAGACCTACATTCACACAACTTTACCCGATGGTTGAATTAAGGTTCAATCTTCTGAAAAACGTGTTTAGCTTGGCGAGTGTTATGCACGTGTCTGTGTCTGCTCCTGCGTGCAACAGCCTGGTGCACGAGCGTAATCTTTTAGGCCAGATTATGACTTGCGTATTGTGCAACCAGAAAAAGAGCCATTTTTCTAACCGAGTTAATCCTCCAACTCAGCCCTTGAGGTTCAGGATTTCACAGCAAGGGCTCACGTGATCCAGACCTTTTAGCTTCACACCAGAAAATAAAATCCCAGGGGAAGGCGGTCTGGATCCGCCGTGGAACCCTTTCCCTGGGCTCCCTCCAGGTTGCCGGATTTTCTGATTTCAGGGTGGGATAAAAAGGAAGACTTTTTCTTCCTAACACTTCTGTTTCAATTTCCCGCCAGGCCCCAGCCTGGCATTGCTGCTGGCAGGGTGGGAAACTGAAAAAGAATTGAAAACTGCCAGCGAGAGGCCAGCCGAACTGCTTGCAGCCAGGCTGGGAGGGCACCCCAAGGTTTGGGCTGAGCCCTGCCCCGAGCCTGAGGCTCGCCGGCAAAGATGCCTCACCCTGGAAGATTGGCTAGCAATGGTGGGTCTGCCGAAGCTTGTTCGTCGTAGTGAATTAATAGTAATAATAATAATTTATTAACATTCATTGTCATTGAAGTGATTAAAGCCTTCGAGTGGAGCTCAGTTTCTGGAGACTTCGTGTCCGCCCGCACCTATCAGCAGCAATGCAGAAGGGGCTGATCATGGTCCTCTTGCAGTTTCACCGTCCCAGTTTAGGGGTGGCCCATCCAGGCTTTGATAAGGTGAACCCAC